GTTGCCGGCCTCCGTCCGAACATCACATATCCCATGAGCACTTGCGGTATATACCGCCCCCACCACTGACGTCAGACGGAGGCGTGCCGCAGGCTGCCGACCTCTGTCTGAGCGTCTACACTTTATATTGATATGTGCAGTTAGCCACGTGACCGCGGAGGTCCGCGATCACGTGACTATACATTTTCGCTTCCCCCTATGTAACTACATTTCCCATATTGCTTTAGTGCTCACCACATGATCGCATTAGATTGCGATCACATGACTTCTGATCTCTTTTTGTTTTACCGTTTATTTTAATAAATAATACTCGTTTTTTTATTTAATATCATGGATTATTTTATATATTGTATTATAAACATTATGTATTCTGTATTTTTATGTTTTTATGATTTTGCTTTTTACACATTGTATTGATGACGTCATTTTGGCGCCAAAATTTGAATAAACATGTTTTATCAAAGGTTATACAGGGAGTGCAGAATTATTAGGCAAGTTGTATTTTTGAGGATTCATTTTATTATTGAACAACAACCATGTTCTCAATGAACCCAAAAAACTCATTAATATCAAAGCTGAATATTTTTGGAAGTAGTTTTTAGTTTGTTTTTAGTTTTAGCTATGTTAGGGGGATATCTGTGTGTGCAGGTGACTATTACTGTGCATAATTATTAGGCAACTTAACAAAAAACAAATATATACCCATTTCAATTATTTATTATTACCAGTGAAACCAATATAACATCTCAACATTCACAAATATACATTTCTGACATTCAAAAACAAAACAAAAACAAATCAGTGACCAATATAGCCACCTTTCTTTGCAAGGACACTCAAAAGCCTGCCATCCATGGATTCTGTCAGTGTTTTGATCTGTTCACCATCAACATTGCGTGCAGCAGCAACCACAGCCTCCCAGACACTGTTCAGAGAGGTGTACTGTTTTCCCTCCTTGTAAATCTCACATATGATGATGGACCACAGGTTCTCAATGGGGTTCAGATCAGGTGAACAAGGAGGCCATGTCATTAGATTTTCTTCTTTTATACCCTTTCTTGCCAGCCACGCTGTGGAGTACTTGGACGCGTGTGATGGAGCATTGTCCTGCATGAAAATCATGTTTTTCTTGAAGGATGCAGACTTCTTCCTGTACCACTGCTTGAAGAAGGTGTCTTCCAGGAACTGGCAATAGGACTGGGAGTTGAGCTTGACTCCATCCTCAACCCGAAAAGGCCCCACAAGCTCATCTTTGATGATACCAGCCCAAACCAGTACTCCACCTCCACCTTGCTGGCGTCTGAGTCGGACTGGAGCTCTCTGCCCTTTACCAATCCAGCCACGGGCCCATCCATCTGGCCCATCAAGACTCACTCTCATTTCATCAGTCCATAAAACCTTAGAAAAATCAGTCTTGAGATATTTCTTGGCCCAGTCTTGACGTTTCAGCTTGTGTGTCTTGTTCAGTGGTGGTCGTCTTTCAGCCTTTCTTACCTTGGCCATGTCTCTGAGTATTGCACACCTTGTGCTTTTGGGCACTCCAGTGATGTTGCAGCTCTGAAATATGGCCAAACTGGTGGCAAGTGGCATCGTGGCAGCTGCACGCTTGACTTTTCTCAGTTCATGGGCAGTTATTTTGCGCCTTGGTTTTTCCACACGCTTCTTGCGACCCTGTTGACTATTTTGAATGAAACGCTTGATTGTTCGATGATCACGCTTCAGAAGCTTTGCAATTTTAAGAGTGCTGCATCCCTCTGCAAGATATCTCACTATTTTTGACTTTTCTGAGCCTGTCAAGTCCTTCTTTTGACCCATTTTGCCAAAGGAAAGGAAGTTGCCTAATAATTATGCACACCTGATATAGGGTGTTGATGTCATTAGACCACACCCTTCTCATTACAGAGATGCACATCACCTAATATGCTTAATTGGTAGTAGGCTTTCGAGCCTATACAGCTTGGAGTAAGACAACATGCATAAAGAGGATGATGTGGTCAAAATACTCATTTGCCTAATAATTCTGCACTCCCTGTATAAGTATCTATGTACCAGGCTGATTTTTGCTATTGCCAGTTGATAAAGCCCTGTGTGGCGAAACGCGTTTTGGCTATTTTATATACTTTTTATTGTACTAATAAAGGAATAGTGGCTTCTTTACAGCAATTTTGCCATATACCTTTTTATTTTATTTTATTTTTAAAACCTCCTGTCACCTGGTCATTCACTAACTTGGAGTCTACTCACGACCAAGAATCCTTGGTGGGGATTGTACCACCTATGCGAATATATTGAGCAGTCTATCCTGCTCATTTAAATGTGAGTATTTTTATTCTTTTATTTTATTTTATTTCATTTATATTCAGTGAGCACTATATTCTGCTTTTATCTCCTTTCTACAACCGAGGAATTACCTTCACCTATATCCTACCAGTGGGGGATAAACGCCACTGAACGCCCAATATACTAGAGCGAGTCTATGCTCTAAGATAGGTGAGTGTATTACCTACCTATTATTATTATTTTTACAACAGACAGTCTACACTATTGGATCGTCTTTGTGGTTTATATTTTCCATGTTCACCTCCGAATCAAGACTCTTCTAAAGACTAGAAGATCCAGTCTCTTATTGGACTCTCTACCCCCAAATACTTATCGGAACCTGAAAGAGGAATATACCAAGTACTGTTACTATTACCCACTCATTTGAACTTATCAATAGTATATTAAAAATTTGGACTATTATTCTTTTTATATATATCCTTTATATATTTATTAAATCCTTTTTATATATATTTCTCCTTATTTATGTTTTAAAGTATTTGACATATTTATCCCTTTCCATTTGTTATTTATGTAGCGCAACCTATTATTCCTGTTTTTGCCATTTCCTTTTTGAGGACTTCAGAGGGAACCTCATATCTATAGGTTGCAGCTCTCTACTTGACCATATCACGCAGCGCTGATCCGTTCTCTAACTGCTGCAAGAAAGTCTGATACCCGCCCCACCCTATTCTTATTATTACATTGATAGATTGACTGCCACACCCAAATTGTAGATAAGTAAAAATAACAAGTGTACACACTGCCTCTTATTAGTACACTCCTGCACTTTATTAACCCATAAAACTTAATATTTACCCTACCTTCACCTGCTCTTGATATTCCAATTATTTCCAATTTAGTTTCCCAGTTTAACAATGATCTGTCTTCTCCTCTTTATTTCCTCCTTCTCCCTCAGTATAAAAATCTCTCCTTAAACCCACTTGACACCCCCCATCCACGTTTACATATGCCCCTCTCTGCTACACTCCCCCTTATCTCATCTCATGCCTTGGACTCATTTTTCTACTCTCTCACTTATACCCACAATCAATCTCATCCTAGACCCCATGCATACAAAACCCATTCACACTTCCTGTCACTTTCTCTCCTCCTGCTTCTAGCAGTTGGTGATGTCTCTCCCAATCCATGCCATTTCACCTTCTCTACACACCCTAAGAAAACCAGAAACCCCACAAACCTCATCACAATACCCTGCCCTTTACCCTCACTTACCAACATTCAGTGTGCACTTTGGAATGCCCACTTCATCTGCAGTAATTTAAAATCAACAGCCATACACAACGTTTTCATCTCAAACTCACTCACACTACTGGCACTTACAGAGACCTGGCTGTCCCCCCCTGATAGCGCTACTCCTGCCTCTTTCTGTTTTGGTGGGCTACAATTCTCTCACACTCAACTGTAAAGGTGTAGGCATCCTTCTTTCCCCTCAATGTACCTTTCAACCAATCATATCTCCCCCTGCCCTATCCTTTTCTTTGTTAGTCATCCTGGGCTATTCATTGAACATTTTTCTTCCTAGCTTCCCCACTTCCACTCATCTAGCACTCCTTCCCTTATACTTGGGGATTTCAATATACCAATCAACAACTGATGCCTCTCGTCTGCTCTCTGTAACCTCCTCCTTTGGCCTTACGCAATGGTCGAATTTAGCAACCCATACAGAGGGAAACACTCTTGATCTCGCCTTCACCAATCTCTGTACCGCCTCTCATCTCTTCAATATTCCTTTTCCTCTATCTGTCCACCATCTGCTGACTTTTGACATTGGCATACCTAAGACCCAATTGACACCACCGTCTGAACATCACTCTCACAGAATCCTCCAATGTCTTGACCTAGAGCATTTCTCCACTAATCTCCAAACTCTCCTTTTCCCAATCTCAAACCTCACCTGTCCTAGCTCTACAACCTCCTTCTACAATTCCACCCTCTCCTCTCAACTAGACATCATGGCACCTCCTACATTTAAACGCAGCAAGCGCCCCCAACAACAACCTTGGCACACCAGGCTGACTCGATATCTTCAAAAATGCTCCAGAACTGCTGAACGCTGTTGGAGAAAGTCTCACTGTGAATCTGACTTTCTCCACTATAAATTTATGCTGCGCTCATACAGCTTTGCTCTTTCCTCTGCAAAAGTAGATTACTTCAATACCCTCATAACCACACTCTCCCACAAACCCAAACGACTATTTCACACCTTTAACTCTCTTCTTCGCCCTATTGTTCCTTCTCCACCTACTAACTTGACGGCCTCAGACTTTGCAACTCACTTCACTGACAATATCTATACAATCAGGGAAGAGATATATATATATATAGAGAGATATAGATATATATATATATATATATATATATATATATATATAAAAAGCCTTGCACTCCTACTTACAGTTATTTGACCCAGTGCTTGATTGCACTAAATGTATGAAAGAAAAAAACAGCACTCCCAGGTAGCTTTCTTATGAACTTCTTTTGCTAAAAAGTGTAACAGTCAACATTTCAGTTCCATTCAGGAACTTTCATCAGGTTGTTGTCCTGATGAAAGTTCCTGAATGGAACTGAAACGTTGACTGTTACACTTTTTAGTAAAATAAGTTCCTTAGAAAGCTACTTGGGAGTGCTGATGGAGTTCTCTCTCTCTCTCTTTTTATTTATAATGTTAAGAGCAGATCAACGTTTCAGTCCTGATGAAAGTCCACAAGAGGGACTGAAACGTTGATCTGCTCTTAACATTATAAATAAAAGTTAAGTTTTAAAGAATCTGTGAGTGCAGCCAACCATCACTACTATTTGGATATTGGAGCCTTGGTGATGCACCCGGTTATATGATTGAAGCCTGAGAGCAAGGTATATATGGTTTTATATATATATATATATATATATATATATATATATATATATATATAGATATATGTTTTATATATCTATATATATATATATATATATATATATATATATATATATATATATATATATATAGATATATATATCTATATATGTGCCTATATATAAGCTCTTATTTTTTGTTTGTTAATTTAACATGTGTGGGGGCTGAGAGATGTTCCAGCTGTTCACAGACCTAGTCATAGGCGTGCGCAGCCTATTGCATTAGGGTGTGCACCCTAAAGCAGAAACACACGCCGCGTGTATATATATATGTGTGTGTGTGTGTGTGTATATATATATATATATATGTATATATTATATTAATATATATATATATATATATATATATATATATATATATATATATATATAAACATACACTGGGGTGTGTGTGTGTGTGTGCTGCATGAGGGTGGTTTGAGGGTTTTGTGTCTGTGTGTGTGTAAGGGTGCTGTGTGAGGGTGCTGTTAGTGTGATGTGTGTGTGTGTGAGGTTGCTGTTTGTGGGCTGTGTGTGTTTGTGAGGGTGCTGTTTCTGTGCTGTGTGTGAGAGGGTGCTTTGTGTGTGAGAGGGTGCTGTGTTTGAGGGTGCGGGTGCTGTGTGTGTGCGGGTGCTATATGTGTGTGGGTGATTGTGGGGGTGGTCTTAATATCCCCCCTCCCTTCTTACCTTATCGTGCTGCTGCTTTCCCTGGTGGTCCAGTGGAGAGTGAACTCTAGCCCCTGTGGGGCTAGAGTTCACTCTCGCGAGATCTGAGTGTTGCCGCAGCAACGCTCAAAACTCGCGAGAGGAACCCGGCGGAGCTGCTGGTTGAGCTCCCCGGGTCCTCTCCTGCCTCCCTCCCTCCATGCTGCAGTGGGGAGGGAGGCTGAGAGCAGAGCCAGCGCTCGGATAGCGTCGTCTCTGCATGAGCCGACAGGGGAGATCCTGAGATCTCCCGTGCCGATCTCACTCCATAGGTACCTGAACCCGGAAGTTCTCATGCGGGACATGTAATCTGTCAGTGTCGTGGTGACGTGAGAATCTAATCTCATGCAGATCGGTAACTAAGCAACAAAAATACACACAGTGTATGGTTGAAAGATGTAAGTGAAAGCCCGGTGAACTGCATGAAAGTGATAAAAAATTATGAATGAAATATTTAAGTACTTATGAAGGACAAATAAATAATATATACAGTCCACTTCAGAGTGCCAAAAATCTGCCCGAATGATGAGGGAGGGATGTGAAGTGAAGAAATAAAACAATGATCAAAATCTGTGCAGTCAAATTGTGTGAAAATGTAAGCAAGTAAATGTTGAGCAAAAAACCCCCATCACCCCAAGGCAGCATTGCAAGTAAAAAACCAAAACAATTGTATATAAGATAATAATAAGATGATATTCAAAGATATGATCTTGGTATAACTAATAACTACAGGATAGGATTCTTAGAAACTTAATTAAATAAAAATAAGCATGAAATACTGAATATTTTATGTTACTATTAAAGCAAATATCTATCGAAACAAAGGATATATTCTTAGTACTAATATATAAGAATGTGACCAAAGGTCTGTAAGAGGGTATACTTGGGCTAATCCTAAGCCTAACCTTGGCCTAAGTATACTGTCTTACAGACCTTTGGTCACTTCTTATGTATTATTACTAGGAATATACCCTTTGTCTCAATAGATAAACTTATATTTAAATCTTTAAAATATAAATAAATAAAAATAATGTTAAAAATATATACATATAAACCTATAATTACATAGAAAATTATATAAATAAACACTTAGAGTTGAAATAGATATATATGTATATGTAATATTTTTATATATTATGTGATTTTATTAATTACGATTTTAGGGACCTACTTGACAACCCATGCAGAAAGTCCAGAGAATTTAATTTGCTAGCTCAATATTTTTATCCATGTAACTTTCCAAAACACCATCAAACCTGTTATACTCTGTGGAAGTTGCTGAAAACAAATATTAGTGTTTACTGCAAAACATTTCACAACAATGATATAATCAGTAAAAGTGCAGTTTTTGTGTGAAAAATGCAAAGAAACAAATATGATCGCTAACTTTGGCCAGCAGTTGTGACTAAGTGGCTACTAAAAAATACTGGACATACCCCATTTTAAATACCCTGAGCGGTCTACTTTTTCAAATGGTATGCCATGATGGGCTTGTTCTCATTTTTGGGCTACCATACGGTCTCAAAGGCTACATAGACAATCTGGCAAAATTCATTGTGCAAAAATGGAAATTTTCAAGCCTTATCTTTGACCCTGTAACTTTGCAAAACACCATGCAACTTGGACATGGGGGGTGGGGTGGGGGTACTGTTGTACTTGTGAGGTATTACTAAACACAAATATGAGTGTTTAAAAGCAATAAAAGATACAATGCTGATCATATCATTGGTTGAAGTGCAGTTTATTTGTGAAAAATGTAAAAACACAAAGTAAGCTTTCTTTAGCCAGCATTTGTGTCTAAGAGGCTACTGTAACTGACCCTCCATCAATCGATGCTCTTAGTGCTTACCAAGGACCATCAGCACTGCACCAGACACCATAAGCACTGCAGACCCCACGAACTGCGGCAGCTTGGTTGGGGTCTCGCCGTCTCCTACCCACCCTGGACCTACGACAAGGCTCTAGTGGGTGATCCTCTCTTCCTTCAGACAGCGAAGCAGGAACAGCTCTTAAGAGCTAGTGATTAGCATCCAGGGGAGTATACAGAGTATAGCAATCCCCAGGGTGATATAGCAGTACCCTACAACATGAGACGAGGCTGCAAGTTGAGGGTAAGAAGGTCTGAAGGTTTATTGAACAGCTTTTTCAATGAACAGAGTTTTTATACTGTTTTTTCTTCCCACAAGGTTGACACCCAGGTGAACTTTGTGGAGCACAGGACACAGAATTAACAAACCAATAAAAACAGACCCTACAGTGTACGCAATCCCTCCCCTCTGCCTGTGACACAATTAACAAAGACAATGGGCTAACTCAATTAACTCAAAACAGAAAAAAACATACATTTTTACAAACCCCAAAAAGTACCCCAAGTACAACATATCCCCACAAAAGTCCCTGATAGCCCTGATCTGGGTGAACAACATATCCAATAATCACCCAGGTTGGTTCAGGAATGTCCTGGAAGTCTTATTTTTGCCACACCGTGCACATAGTCCCATGCCCAAAACAGTTCCATACACTCAATGACAAAACACTGCTGGACAATTTAAGATGTCTGCCACCACATGTTGGAATCTGTTCCAGTTAAAAGTCCAAGGGGCAGAAACAGTACTTTTGAACATGGGTTATCACAGGGTACATAGGAGGCTGGCAAACAGGCCCCTCCAAAAACCAGTGGCGAAGTTCTTTCGTCACAGCTACTAAAAAAGACTGGACATACGACATTTTGAATACCCTGGGTTGTCTACTTTTTTCAAATGGTATGCCATAATGGTGGTAATTTGTATTCCTAGGCTGCCATATGGTCTCCAAGGCAACATAGACACAGCAAACCAATCTACCAAATTTTAATGTGTAAAAACTGTAAACGGGGTAAGCCTTATATTTGTAGCTTTCCAAAACCCCATAAAACCTGTTGTACTTGTGAGACATCACTGAACAAAAATATGTGTATTTTATTGCAGTAAAAGCAAACAGTATTATGACATTCACAGTGAAAATGTAATGCAAAACTTGACTTCCTGCCTTATTCCATCATCTTTTCAATAAAGTCCACTGAAATATATTTATGTAGCTATCTAATATTTAACTTTTCTATTTGTTCTTAAAAACTTGTTCTTAATTACTCACTCTCATCAACCTTATATTGTAGAGATTAAGCCCTACTAAGTAAGATGAGTTAGAATGAATATCTGTCACCTAGATATTTATAGTTTATTATTCATTGTAACTTTGTCAGTTTGTATGTCTTGACGTCTTGCTTATGAATGTTGCATGCACCACAACCACAACCAAGTCCCTGAAAATGTTTTCCTTTGCCTTTGCTGATACAATTCGTTCTTTGAGTACAATAATTTAATTGTGCAATATATTCCACATCACTGTACAATAGGTAAAACAAGGCAAACAATGAAGTCTAAGAAAACACGTTTGGCATACAGAAACAGTAGGTGAAGATGGCCCTGCCCAAATGAGAATGGCCCAGATGCCATGAAATGTAAAGCAGTGTATGCAGATACACATATATGCAATAGTAAAAGATGAACAGAGTACATGATGTGCAAGTCAAGTTCAAAGACAATAACTGACAAGCACGGAAATCAAATAAAGTATGTCCTTAAAGGGACATTTTAGTTACCAAAACAACTTTAGCTGAATGTAGCAGTTTTAGATCATGACTGTGAAGTTTCACTGCTCAATTCACTGCCATTTAGGAGTTAAATCACTTTTGTTTCTGTTTATGCAGCCTAGCCACAACTTCCTTGGCTGTAAAAAATGTTTTATTTTCAATCAGATGTAACTTACCTGGACATTTTTTTTATCTCCTGCTCTGTAAAATGAACTTTAAGTACATATAGAATACCCCTACAGGGTCTAGCAAACTATTAACAGAGCATGAGATCAGAAATTCTAAATTAAACAGAATTTGCAATAAAGGAAGTGTAAACATTAGATGACTCTTTACAGGGATTGTTTAGGACGACTGTATAAGTCACATGCAAGGAGTTGTCCCTTTAAGAGTGGTAGAGAAATGGAATGAAAAAAGAAGCTTGGTCTAAGACAAAATAACTACTTGGAAATAAGTCAAATGTATTTTCTATACTATTGCCACATATTCTAACCAAATCTCTGCATTAATCACAAAGTAATGTGATAAATACATATCAGTCTCCAATTGGAGTGAAGTACAAATCAGTCTCCCTTATCAGTGTGGGAAGATGAATTGGCAGAGTCCATCATTTTTACAATCTTTAAACATAAAGTAAATAGGAGCTATTCAGTCATTTACAGATATACAATAATAGCTTGTTTTGTATCAATTAACCCCAGTAGCTACTCACATTTTACAAATAAATTAGTCAGAGCATGACTGACTGTGGTCCATTGAAGATGATCCATAAATAGTTTTGTAGGCATTACAGGAGAAAGAACAGAGGTAAAGCCTAATGTTAGGTACACTAAAGAGCTGGGGAGTAACCCCAAGTAGGAAATAGCTAGACAAGAGGTGGTGTACCTATACTAGGTTAATAAGATCAAAAAAATAAAAAATACATTTATCATAAACTCAAATAACAAAAAATGTGTGGTGAATGTGCTTGTGTACAGACAGTGAACATACAAGAGGTATTAGAAGCCAATACCAAATTAAAAAGCATGCTAAGGTGCTAAATCAAATGACTAGTAATCATATCGATCTCAATTTGCTAGAGCAGGTTTGAAAGCGTTCTATCATAACAAAAGATGACTAGCAGGCATATCGGTCTCAATTTGCTAGTTCAGGTTTGTAAGCGTTCACAAACATAACATGTAAGCTAGGGTATTGTCTGTAATTGTATCAGTCCCCTACTTACATGAAAAGCTGTCTAATTTGCCGATTATAGTATATATCTGGATAGAAAAAAGATATTATATATATATATATATATATATATATATATATATATATATGTGTATGTATATATATATATATGTGTGTGTATATATATGTGTGTATATATATATATATATATGTGTGTGTGTGTGTGTGTGTGTATATATATATATATATATATATATATATATATATATATATGTGTGTAAGAGGCAAATAGCCATATATGGAGTAAGGATCCAGCATAAGCGTAGGATAGTATAATGGGAGCAAGTCGGTTGTGGTGTGCCGAGACCGACGATACGGTAGGCCTGTAAATAAAGAGGGCAAAAATGAATAATCAAAGATTTAATACAGTCAACAAATATATACAAATTAACAAGACATTTCCTTAAATGCATTACAGGATTTTGAAGGTAGGAATCTAGGACCGAAAGTGGACACCATTTGTTGTGGGTAGGATAGTATGTTATCTCTACTGTTGGTGTATGTTGACTCGTTTCAGAATGTGATAGAGCCAATAGGTAATGATATATGTGTATACGTACGTGGGATCATTGAAGACCATGATCTGTCTGAGTGGTGGTGATGGTAGTGGATTCTCTGGCCTGAGAAAGGCATAGAAGGCAATGTCCATGGCTGGTAATGACCGACTTGGTAGTATAATTGAATGGTTGTAGATCTAATAGGTCCGATAAGGATGAAAAGTTGGATGGCTATTGGTAATCTCTGAGAGGAACGTGGGGGAATGGATTCCTGAAAACCTCTGAATATATTCTTGTCTGGTATGATAGCATGAAGTTATGCTAGTTTTGGCCATAGGTTATCCTGTGTTGTTGAATGCCTGTAAATATATATTATTAATGGTGTGTGAGATAGTTTAAGTTTAAGGTGGCAAAAAGAAGCAAAACCTAGGAGAAATGTTATGAAACAGGTTGAGCTATGTCATGTTCCTGTGAGATTCTTTAAGCCAGGTGAAAAGCTGTGTTATGCGTTCTACAAGTATGGGACGAAAGTGCTAGGTGGGATAGTGCATGCTATGCTGCATGAGTATGTCTAATCCATGATTTTGTCTCTGAAACGAAAGAGTGGCCATGACTGTTTGGGCAGCTGAAGGAAGCGTATGATGAACATGCCTGGAATATAAATGAGACAATTGTCGGCAGGGATGTACACCCCCGCCTGGTACATGAAAGTAAAAGAAATGTGATAAGTGGCCAACCAAGTGAGCTCCCCAGAAATATCATGACCTTATGGATGATGAGTGGTGTTTGTTGATGATATGACATGTGCTTAGTTGTCTGAGTAACAAGGGATTGATGACCCTGACCATGCCAGCAGCTGCTACAATGGGGTAGATCCCCTAAAGGGGCTGAGGTGGTGGAAAAATTTCCAAACCTGGATGCCATGGCCAACAGTTTCAGAGCAATCGTTCACGGTAGATGCCGCGTCTGACCATCTGGTTGGAGAAGTGTCAGACAATCCTGGAAGGAACATGGGTTCCAGTATGTTGGGAGGACCTCAAGGACATTTAAAACAAGAATACGCGAACATATATATAATATCAGAAAGGGTTTCCTGAAACATAATGTTTCTTTACATTTTTTAAAAAATCATGGAGGAGACCCCACAGGAATTATGTTTTATGGTATACAACAAATTAGACCCCATTGGAGGGGAGGCCATGGAGAATCAGCCTTGAGCCGTAGTGAGATGAGGTGGATTTTTAATCTGGACACCTTATCTCCTAATGGTCTCAATGTTGACTTTGAAATGAAAGCTCTTATCTGATTGTTTAATATATTGATATTCAATATGGTTAATATTACTTCTCTCCATTTTAGATATATGTGTTTCTTTGAACCTCATTTGTTTTTATATTTTTTATATTGTATACTTTTTATATATGTCTATAAGTTTTATATGGTTATAATATGTAGGTATACTATGTTTGCATTTTAAATATATTCTAATGTAATGCCCTTTTATTATTATTTTTTATATAAGATTCTTTTGAACTCATGGAGAATATTTATATGTTATAAATTATTCCATTTTATTTGAAGATTTGCTTATGTACATATATATGCTACATTATTGCCCTTTTATAAAATGGTGTTTCTGGCTGCCCTCGTTTCGCCGAGTGAATCTACAGGAAGTGATGTACGGACGTCACGTGCGTCATGACGTAACGACGGAACGTGCGTCATGACGCCATACCGGAAGAACTTTTTGGCGGGAAGACTACATTTCCGGTAACGAGGATATAAAAAGAACGCCGGATGAGGATTTGCATTATACACTTGACAAAGACATTTAGTCGAAACGCGTTGTGTTACTGTATGTAATATTATTTTATATTACATTTTATTTTATTGTTTTATTTGAAGTAAATACTTTTTAATACTATTATACTTTGGTCTATCATCAATCCTTCCTACGTCTGGAGCAGAATACCAGTACCTATAGGAGGAGTGTGGAGCTAGTCTGTAAAGCTTGGAAAAGCTGATTTTCCACATGCCATCAAGTCTGAGCCTGCTTTCTAGGCTCTATCTATTGTGAGTGACCCAATACCTCTACATCTACCTGTCCTATATTTTACAGTGTTACACTATGTATGGACTTTTATGTTTTTCAGATTAAGCTAAAGGAACGTTTTACTATAAGTATATACGTGTTTTGCTTTTTATCTGTACACTGCACCCCCCACTTTGTTATCTTGTTTTATCACTGTTTGGAAGTGTCTTTTGAGTGATTTATAGACACTGGGGGTAGTTGCTGCTTTGTTCTTTAGCGCCAATCCACCTATATTTATTCCTTCCCTTGGGGTGGAATTTTGTTTTTTGGTTATGCTTTTACCATGCCAAGTGGTTAAGAAATTCCCCCCCATGTGCAGGTCTGCTGTTGCTGGGGTGTCTAGGGACATCCTCTGATCGTCATGTTGGAAGTGTGGAAAAAAGGGGAAAGTACTCTGGATGTGAAAGCGTGGTCTTGTGGTATGATTGGCATGGCAAAATTTAGGAACCTGGTAGGGATTGTAGTTCCTTGCAGTTGTAAGTACTAAGCAGGAGTTAGTGATTGATGTAGTTGAGAATGTTCCCTATTTGTCTTGTAGTAACTTGCGTGTATGGATGCTGACTCAAGTCGTATGACCAGTAATGTGATGATAGTGTCTGGGCCTTCTGTTTCTTATGGAGTACTGGGACGCCCAAGTGGTCAACCAGACTAAGCTGCCGTGAGGCTTCTAGTGAAAAATATGTTATCTTTGATCAACAAGAAGTCTTCTAGATAGTGTATGACTGTAAGGCCTTTGGATAGGTTATCATAATCAGCACTGAGTATGTGCGAATATCGATAGTAGGCTAATCTGTAGCCCGAAAGTTGAGCGGGGAAAGGGTTGCCCATTTTATGCCATGTAAGTGCCAGTGTGTAGGGTAGATGGTAGCCGTTTACTGCGTTGATGATATTGGTCTTACTTAACCAAGCTTCAACCTATGCTTGAGTGATAGCTGTAAAGGTAGATCAATGGTGTTGTATAGTAAGGAAACTCTTCGGAGGGTATGAGGGAGTTGAGGCTTGGGTAGCTGAGGTGTGTGGTGCCAATAAGTCCTTGGTTAGTCTTTGTTTAAGGGAAGATTTCCTTGTAACAATACCAATGTGTTTGGTGCCATGCTGTAAATGGTGGAGATTGGAAAACCCAAGTAAAGACCCCTCTGCAAATCTTGGCTATGAGTGTGTTTACAGCCAATGGTTCTGTTGTGCTGACTGTACTTGAAGGTGTATTTATGATACCTGTATCACAGCCCTTTGAAGCTCCAGAGCTTTAGTAAATCTACAAGTCTGCAAGGGTGATGAGTCAGTAGTGTTGAAAATGCATTGGTGTGTACAGATGGTGAGTACGTTATTTGTAAGTTGTATTGGGACACATGGTTTGTCATGTGCCCTGAACCATTTGAACATATATGCAACAGTCTATATGCAATGCAACTACTCATATCAATTGTCTCTGGTAATTCAGAGGTGCTGGTACCTGGAGCCTGAGAGTGCTTGTTCATTTGTTTGGGACAAAATCCCTTCTGTATGGTTACCTGCACAAATAAACATCTCTACATATTCCAAATGCCAACCCAACCAAGGGATGGTCAGTTTCCGATTTACCTGGAATCACTGGATCCGACCATCACAGATACATCATCATACATATATATTCCTTGTTTCCCCAATGTGCTGGGATCATAAGTGCAGGGTTAACGTCTTGTGCGTCATAAGAATTGATTGTACCAGGTAACTGAGTTTCGGTTGGTGTTGGTTGTACAGTAGCTTGAGGCCCAGCCTTGTGAGGGCTGTGGTGACCGACTCGAGATTGCCAGTCTGTCATAAATTTTTTGGCACATGAGTTTATGAGTGAGGCTAGCATGGCCTGGGTGTCACCTGAGTTGGTATTGCTGGGCCTTCCCCTGCCTCCGTGTTGTCCGTTGATGTATGGAGGAGTTTGAATAACTCTGCTTTGGTAATGTGTGGGATCGTCCAGGATCTGATTGCTGCTGGACTAGCAACATCTCCTCTGCTTGAAGGTGTATCAATTCTAGCCAGGGTGCTAGGAAGAGGTGATACTTCACCATTTTTTTGAGAAATACTTAAATAACAATAAAGATTGCAATTATTATTTGTACCCAGGAGTCTTGTACTGGCTTGCTATCTAAGCCGTAAGGCGAAACGATTAGGCTTGGTGTTTTTTGGTGACTGGTGAGGCCCTACTAGTTGCCAAGTGGCTTGAGAGGTTCCGTTTATGCTTGGCGCGAGGGGATTTTGTGTGGCCACTGTAACGGCACCCCCAGGCATAAAAGGGGTTAAAAGACGTTTACAGAGACATAGGCAGCTACTGTAGACACCAATCAACTGAACCGGAGAAGCATATGAATTCTCTCAAGCATATGAATGCTGTAAACAGCTGAATAGGAAAAACCATACAAATAGGTTTACACTCCTAGCAGTCAAACTGGAACACCCACAGGGTTTTGGAAAACAACCAATAAACACATACAATACACTCAGACACTCCCACACAAAATCCTTCCCTCTGCCTGTGATACAATTACCTTACACAATGGGTAATGTTATTATCACCGGCAGAGAAATACAGTTTTTACACATTATTCATAACTTTAAAAGTATGGATCACATTCACATAAATCAACATACTCCAAATACAAACAAAATCATACAAATTGGTCCAGTGGTTCAAAAGATAGATCGTAGTCCTTTGTGACCAAATGAAGCATGGCTTTTCTGCCCAAAACCAGTTCCACAGAGTCTTCTATCCTGAGATAATTGGGAAGTAATCCAATTATCTCCAAGGACAGAGGCAAAACTCCATTAAGCACATGGTAGTAAAAAGACAGTAAAATACACAAAGTTACATTTATTACATAACATACAGACATGCAACATATCCCCAGATAGCGCTCAGACCACACACATACAGTTCAACTGCCATGGAGCCAAAGTTTCCCATAGTCTTTCATTATACGAATGGGCTCCATGGCATAGCTATCTGGGGTATCACCGCTCAAACAGGGCAAGCACCGAATGACCCGGCTTTCATGTCTTTGCATGGGAAAAATCAAGCGTTTCAACATGGGGCCATAGT